ATATATACTCCTTTCTACTGTTGGGTACTCTGTGTGTCGTCGTCATCACCAATATATAACGCTTTTGTCTTCGATCTTTTCCCGGCTAGCTCGAGTGCATATCCCTGCAGCGCGTCTACGGCCCATCTTGTCTTTTCGTCGCTATGACATCGTTCATCTCTCGAATTTTCGTTCGTTTTTATTATATATATATACAATTTATACATTTGGTTACAACGGCGACCTCGGCAGGCCGGCACGCGACAAGTTTTCCCAGCTGTGCCCCCCTCGACCGAAATAGCTCGAAATATTATAGAATTCATTTAATTTAATTGAAAAAGGTCTAACACGTGATTTTGTTCAATATTTTCTGTATTCCTTCTACGTGCAGCAGCATAGCTGTTCACTTACTTTTCTATCCGATTTAATTCTGTGGATATCAGCCTTCCGCACCTGCATCAAATTTTCACATGACACCAGGTCACATCAGCCTATTTTTCCAGCGTATGTGTCGTATCCCTTCCAATTTTTCTCGATTTTATAAACAGACCTACTCATCATCTAAGCATTCACAGATTGAATCTCTTCATTATCAGTTACTTACTATTATCGATCATATTATTTCATTTTAATTATCATCACTATTATAATGTTGTTGTTGTTGTAGTATATCGATATGTGGTTGTGGTTATTACGTAGCTTATTGCATCAGATGATTATTGATACGGATGCAAGGTCTTTCATTTTCGTCTTTTTTTCTCTAGATTTTGCTTGTGTCTGGCTGTCGACCTTCCATTCCTAGATGTTATCTACCGTCTTTCCTCTTGTACCACTTTCTTTGTCTTGACAGAGTCCATTTAATTTTGGCCTGATGTTTGTCTCTGTTCGTTTACCTTCATTCTCGTGTTGACTCACCTGCTTAGCTGTCTGCCAATGTGTCTCTGTCCTGTCATGTACGTAGTAACTGTATGTGCGTGCACCGCCACCGAGGCACTTGACTTAGAAGTTGGCGGCCTATTCTGTCGGCCAAACAAAAGCCACTCCGACTGCACTTACAGTTCCAAGTAGGCGGCAAGTCCCCTTTTTTCTTAGGGACCTGTGAGTGTTAGGATAGTTTTTTGTTTCATTTTCGCTATCAGAGATTTCGGAAACTCGACAAATTATTGTAAAGCCGCTAGAACTGTATGTGCGGCCAGAAATGGCGTGTTCCCTTTCAAGGAAGGGGTACTCTACTTTGCTTATTTCTATGTACATCACTTATTGCTTGGAATCGTCGGGTTCGCCGCCACCATCTAAATGGCGGCCTTTTGTTCTCCTACAAGGTCCCCAACTCGGCATCTTCTATACTTAACCCTTGTTTTTTCTCATTCAGTATTCCAGATTGTAGGTTTACAGCGACGCTTATTGACGACGTTTAGCGCATTCTTGCCCTGGAGCCGTCATCCCATTGGACAGCACGAAATCGGAAAGTCTTCCAAATGTCCTATGTCGTCATAATCATAGTTTCTGTTTCGTCCGCCATTTTTTTAAGATAATCATCGATACAAACACTCAGAGATCACAGTCAGCAGCGTCCGGGCTAGGGCGCGTTCCGGGTTTGCCATTTGCCTACAGCGTTTGTGACGATGACCACGACCATAAACATTTGATTTTTTTGTTCGTCGTCATCGTCGTCGTCGTCGTCGTTCAATTGTTTCATGCAGAGCGTTGGCTTGTTGTTGTTGTTGTTGTTGCTGCGCCTGACGAAAAGCGACGGCTTTCCGAGACGGACTGCCCATGGCAACAAAACCGTTAGCAATGGATCTTGTACATTGTTGTCGAATGGGCTTGGCTGCCATCGAGTCAGTTTTGGACAAAAGGAAATTGTTGTCCACGGCCGTGTAGTACCGTCGTTGTTCAGGCTATCCGTTGTAGACCTTTCCTGCCAACGCCACATCTACCCCTCTCCCTAAATTGTACTTCCTCTTTTTGTTTATTTATAGTGTTCTTGTCAGGACTTTTTCGCTGGGTCTTCAATGGGGAAAGGTGTTATGGGTAAGGGGTTGGGTATTGGTGTTGACAGTAGTTATGGCCGTCTCTCCTATCTAATGTATCCGAATGCACACACGTATATTATAAATTATTTGTCAATATTTTTTTCTTATATAATTGCTGTCATCGAATCTAACATCTTCTCGAAATCACCTTCACTCTTATCAATTTATTTTTGTATATTTTTCAGGAGTTCAGGTTCTTAATTGAATCTTTCTCCCCCCCTTTATCAGAAAGCATCCGACACATAGAGTGTAAGAGGCAACGGGATGTTACTGTTGCTGTTGTTTTGCTATTGTATCATCACGTATTTGAATATGGCGACATATCCTGTGGATCACTATATACTGAGGGATATTGGCCTTGCATGGCATGGTGCCGCTGAGACGGCAACATCTGGCGAGGATTTCCGTTCACTCCGATGGGTAACCGGCCTCCGGTGGCGTACTGCCTCTGAGGCTGTTGCACGCTGACTATTGGCATTCGACGAACGCCGTGCACCCCGTTCATCCGATCCATCGTATAGGGTAACCGCTGCTGCTGTTGCTGATGGTGTTGTAGGGCTGGAGACTGCTGCTGCTGCTGTTGCTGCTGCTGCTGCTGCTGCTGCTGTTGTTGTTGTTGTTGATGAACTTCGTCATCGATCACTGCGTAGATATTCTCCGTCACTCCGGGTGCGCCAGACTGGTACGGATGCAATAAGGTCCGTCGCGTAAGCGTATTTGCTTGGATACTCGGTTGTGCACTTCCAATCACTGGCCGTGTGTTTGTGTTCGTATTGTGCTGGCCGTTAGGAAATGCGAGAGGCGTCTTCGACTGGTAGTAGCTCTGTTTTGGCTCGAGCGCCTGCCCGTACTGCAGGTTGCTATTGAGCTCGATCGAGTCCGATGAACAGCTCTGCTTCCGGCCAGACTCCAGTTCGCCTGCAAACAATAACAATAGTGGAAAAATAAACCACAATTAGACTAATTGCATGAAAGGTGCACAAACGCACAATAAACAATACAGTCATTCTATAACTAGACAATGTACCCGCCTCGAAAGCTTTTGCTATGTCTCTCGCGCTATGTGCGTGTGCGTGCATCTTTCTCTCTGTCGGTCTTTTTGCACTTTGACTCTCTTTCTTTGTATTCAGCATTTTATAAACGATCGATTAATCGCTGAATGATTCCTATTTTGCGAACTCTCGCTGCCGCAGAGCTTCGCGGGAGTTCACGGCATTGCTTTCTCTTGTCCGTACTACCAAAGCTGCCTCTGGTACCTGATAAATATGTGTGCTTCAAAGGTTCTTTTCACCCTTTTGACCCTCGTAATGTCCAGAAAGTGCACAGGAGTTTCTTTTCTTCGAAAAAAGAATGGCCCTGGTATTATTAAACTGCTTTACAGACATATTTGGACGCAACTTGTACCTTACCGGTGCATCCGACTTATATCGTCGGTGAAATTCATCAGTCAAAAAGAAACGTCTGCGTCAACATACGTACGTACGTACGTACGTACATAGAACGCCATTGCTAGCTGCATATATATACGTATCTAGTTGGTTCAGCGTAGCATTGCACGACGCTTTGCCGTTTTTGGGCACGTATCATCATGTTCACTTTGCGGTTCGAGCAGTTCGAAGCACGAGTCGGGTTAGCCTGGCGATTCTTTTTCGGCAACAACTGCGGTAACCTTGCTGATGCGAAGAGGCGTCCCCAGCGTCACAACAAACCGCAAGGCAACAGCAGAAAGTACGCTGAAACTGTTTAGACTTTGCACAGTGGCCACAGTCTCTTTGTACAGTGTTTGGGTCGATGCAATCGGACGTGACGGTTTCGGTCACAACCGGCCATAATATGGTCGCCGCGTGCGACTATGGGAATGCTTCGTGCGTCATGACGCTCTTTGCTCTTGCATGCTGATACTCATCGTAGCATTGCTAATGGCTGTTGCCGTTGCTTCTTCTGGATAATACAGCCGCCGCCACGCGCTCGTAATAAAAATAATGAATTACTTAGATCTACACGAATCGGGTCATCGCCCAATTCGTGATAGCGATTAATTAAAAGAAAACCAACAACAGCGACAACATGGGTAAACGAGAAAACGAACAGGGCGGACATATGAAAAAAACGAAGGTAATGAGAAAAAAAGCTATCACCGACAGGCCACCGGTCGCCGAACAGCATGATGACCAGAGAAATCAGCGGAAGGGGCAGCACAAGCGAAGACACCACCAGCATCAACAACAACAACACCGCCATAAAGCCGTGTCAAAGGACACCACGCTGTTGTCGTACTAACAACAACAACAACAAAATGAAGAGATGCTCATAAAGTAGAGGTCGCCGGTTGTTCTCGCCCTTGTTCGCAGTCAGCCTCATCAACAACATTAGTAACAGCATCATCATTAACGCCGTCGACGAGTTGACTCGTTTTGATTGTCCTGTTAACCGGTTGCCTGACAAAAGTCTCTCAAAAAGAAATGCCACTACTCCTGCGTGAAGCCAATACAACAAGTACCAACAGGTAGGGCACCGCTATGTGTCGTAAGCCGGAGCATCAGCAGTTCCAGCAGCGATAAGCGTTAATCACTTCATATATGATGTCCGCAGCATCCGTTGAGAAAGAGAACCATCATGAAAGACAGAACAGCTAGTATAGTACGGCAGTGCGCGAAGCGTAGTTGAATGCAACGAAAACCTCGCACCGTCTTAACTTAATCGTGTTGAAAAAATGATAGTAATATTATAAAAAAAAAAAAACCGCAACACTCTCCTTGCTTTCATCGTGATTATAGTAGTTGTCTGTGGCGCCAGGGTACGTCAGGTAACCGGTGTAAATAGTAGCGATTCTCCGTATTCACATACGGTGGCCAATCTCTCACAGACGCCGTTAATGGCTAGCGGAGGACCAGATCGAGGTGAAGCATTGCCTGCTCACGATAACACACGTTATATGACGACCGCGACGCGTCCTTATGTGTGCGCGTATGCACACTATTTGGCAAAATAATAGGATGCAATTATAATGTTCGGAAACCATGGGTCACTCGTATAAACTAAAACCAGTTTGAGTGTCCATCGCCTCGCCAACGAAAAGGACGAGTCAAAGGGAGACGACCTGGACAGCAATAAACAGAAACTTGAACAACGACTGCTAATAAATGAAATTCTGGACGAGGTAAGTTCGACTACTTCACCGCAAAGTTCTGACAGGGTACTTTAACCGCTGACATAAAAGCTTATTTGATCGAGCTTTAAAGCTAGCTGTATAACTGAGTTAATGGCAGGATAATATAACGGGGCCATTACTCCTACACACTATATGTATTGTTCTGTACGAACGTATTTATCAGGGCTTGTTTTACCACAACAATGTAATACCTAGAACACGCGAAAAGCGCGGATAAAGTGACGTCTTCATGCTTTTTCTCGATTCAGTGAGGTAAATCTATTGAACAACCACAACTTCAACCTCTTTTCATTTCCATATCTCTAATTTCGATAAGTTTAACGGATTTGGAAGACCTATTGCTCTAGCCAATCTATAGCCTGTGAGACATCAACAGAGCGTACTAAGTGCCTTTGCTATCAAGATATGAAGGTAGAATATGAAAATCGCGCGCTCAAAAACCACGTTTCCCTTCGCCGCCGACGTTGTCGTAGTCTCCAGCACTGATGACAACATTCCGTCCGACGAGTCGTCATCGGCCGAATGATGGCGACTATTCACCCCACCAGAGAGATTATTTTTTCTACATAACAAAGAGTACATCATGTATCGATAACGGGAATAAAGCCGAATATAAAAATATCCAAGGGTTCACTACTACTCGACAGCTGGCGACTACAGACACGCGATACACCAAGAAAAACGCTACTCTTTTTGACAGCCGACGTTATCGAACAATTGTCGTCGATCCGCAAAGCGATGATGTCTGGTTATCAACTAGCAGCAAAAGTCACAATAATAATAACAACAGCGGCGGCAGCAGCGACGGCAACAAGCGAGATAACGGAGGGACTCATTATATAAACGGGTGGCGATATGATGTTTGGGCTTGTCGTCTGCCGTAAAGATGACCAAAAGGAAACCATAAATATTAATAAGAAGAAGCAGGTAAGCAGCGAGTAAAGGGAAATAGCGGGAGTGTGCAGAGAAAAAGCACGTAACTGGAATCGACAATGACAGCCTTTGAAGAAGAGCTGAACAGACGAAACAGAAATATAATGAATAATCGAGGATAATAATAATAATAACAACGACAGCCGTAACAACACACACGAGAATGACAGCCACAGCAGAAACCACTACCGCTTAATATCGTATACTTACTGTGTTCATCTTCTTGTCGGTCCTGATCAAGGACCTGTTCGTAGATGGGGTTGTACTGCTCTTTGTTGGACCCGGGTCCACCACCTGCGCCCAGCTGTTTCCGTCGCTGTGAACGTTGCGGATCATTCAGTGAGATCACCGAGGGTGTGACGATACCTCGGAATGCTGATGGGAGCGTCGTGAATCCCTGACCTTGGCCCTGACCGCCGTATGCCCCACATTTGACATCGGACAACTGCAATCATGCCAAACGGTGTCAGCAATCCGATCGCAAAATTGAATGTTAAATGTCATATTCAGTCTACTTCATCTCGTGCATTTGAAACAGGCAAGATCCAATTGGTTATAGAAGCTAGAAAAAAAAGAAGGTCCCGATTGTTAGGAACGATGCGCAATGCTAAATGAATAATGTGTTAAAGGAACTGAAAACGAAGTTGATTACGTGATTGTAAGTTCGTATGCTAGTTAGTCGTAGCCCAATGGTACTGGCAAGGCGCTTACGAAGATCATGCCGGAGTGGCGGAAACCTTCGAGATTCAGCGTTTACTTGTAGGAATCAACAATACACGCAAGCTATTACCCGGACCCGTTAGTGATAGTCGTCATTGATTATACTGCCATTAAAACATGTCTAAGGGAAACAGGTATTCTTATATAGTCTACATATACATATACATCAAACGGTTAGTATCGGCCTATGGAAAGTTATCGAACTATTTCTATGACGCGCATGAGTAAGACGATGTAGACTGTTGAAGCTGATTTTAAATCTGTTAGCAACAAGACAGACTGATGGTGGTGGCGTATGGGAACATTGTATGTTAGTGATAAGATTGGTGTTTCTTAACTAAAGGCGGATGCGAGATGTATTGTACCTCAATCGGATTAAGACCGTCTGCCTGCAGGAACGGATGTAGCGTTGCCGTGTGATTCGAATTTAACAAGAGCGGATTGATTCCAGGAGCGCCCGGAACCTGGGACTGGCCCGGTGCTCCAGGCACCTGATTCGTCTTGCACGGCAAAAAGTGTTCCACCTTCTTTTTATGCCTGGAAAAGACAGCGACGCGAGAAGGAGTGTTAGCAAATAGAAATACAATGCTGCTCGCATAAGTAGATATAAATAAATGCCCGTATTGATTTATCTCTATATAAATACATATTTAATTTTTCCAGTACGAACAGCTGCTGACTTTGTGTACGAACCAGTTTAAGAGAATTATTTTCACAAGTTTCGTCTAGTTGATTGTATGTCAAGATTCGAAACTGCGTAGCATCATTACCAGTCGCTTCGTGGTTGATACTCTTTAATCATTGGAATCGTGTTGGCCGCCGATACCTTTTTTGAAGGTCAGCTATCGTTCCCGATCACGGTAGCGATAGCGGCAACAGCTCGTGTTACGGGCTACTCTTTTTGCCGAACAGGGGCTAATTACGGCCGGTTTTTATGATATTGTCAGTGTAAACTGGAGGTTAACTCTATCCGCTGCCGACCAATTCGCTAGCTATTCTGCCAACAAAATTCACGTTCTAGCAGCTTTTTGGCTGGGATTACAGTAATAGTTGTACTGGTACCTACAATAATACCAATAGTAGTATCAAGACTACGATAGGTACGGCTCAGAGGCTATAGTTTCTGGTGTTTCGACCGTCAGAGTAAACGAGTAGAAGCATCAGTGGCTCACTGTAGCATTGTCCGCCGACCCACAAGAGTTCGTGAGTGGAAATTACTTCTACAGGCTCGTGTCAACCTAACTGATGACAATCTTCAGGTGGACGCTAAACTGTAACGCGTTTCCGTCTAAATTAGTCACTTCGTATGTGCCTACTTAGACGACGTACCAAAAGATAGGTCGACTTCAACCGTATACGCACAAGTGTCTGTCCAGGCTCAACTGTTTACGAAGTTGATCGAAATCAGATTTCGTTCGGTTTATAAAAATAGAGTACAAGGAACTATCTGAGTCTGATCGAATATGTGGCGATACGAAACATAATGATTTCTATCTATAGTGTACCATTAATGATAGTGCTCTTGATTATAACAAAGGTGTATAACATAAGTGTGTGTGTTCACGTCAACCAGGCCAACGGCGGTGAAAACATGGTAGACACCATCGCATGGGTGGCCTAAACAAGTCAGCAGACACGCGCCATTCTATTCTAATGTCCGCATTACCGCCGACGGTGTCTGTCTGTTTGTTTGCCTGTATGTCTGTCTGTCTGTCCATCTACTTGATAATAAAATCCGTTTTTGATCCACGGAAGGTCTATCGATCAAATGTCACAGCCATCTTGATTCTCAAGCGTAGCCGAGACCCTGACGAAAGACCGGTTCGAAGTTTGTTGAAAAGACCAATCTGTTCTTAGCTTATCGAGAAGCACGCGAATTGTACGAGTTGATAGAAATAGAATGGATTGCCTATAGTAGATTTATATTATAGTATGAAACTCTGTCTAGCTCAATGGCGTCGAAACGTAAACTATGTTACAACCCAACCAAATAAGCCTTTGGCTGACCTGATAAGGCATCATCTGTCTGACAGTGGCGTCCGGTAGCTAGCTACTTGCGACCTGTTGGCTAATCGGCCATTAAAACGAGTAGCATGTAAGGCTCTCAGGCAAACGACATGGAACAAATCGGACAACCATTCCATAGCCACAGTCCTTTCTGATATGAACGTATCCTCGACCAACCAGCGTTACAGCCGCAGCAATCCTAGCACGGAACAAAACCAATAACAAACTACTACATATAAACTTACAGCAGAAACGTCAAGCACAACAATTAGCCAATGCTGCTACCAGCGAAACAGCTAGCGTCGAATACGTCGGAATACGCTTAACGCACCGCAGTCGCATGGACAACGCCAGCGGCGCCAGAGCGAGACAATTATTTATATACTGCAGACATACACACAGCGGGCAGCTAGGTTATCCCTGGAACGATCACAACTTCCTTTTTTCCAGCTTTCCTCTTCGCACCCACCTCTCCCTCGCGTTGTTGATCATTCATGTTGTTATTAGTCTTCTGCGCAAATAATGTCCGCTTGTATGAAAAATGACAACGAACCCTTCGGTCTACCGACGAATGATCACTACGACGACGACGACAACGGTTGTGGTTGTTCCATTGCGGCCGACTTGGCGGCTGCTCCGACGCCGAGAAGACAACTATGAATCACATAGGGACAGTATAAGCGAAAAAGAAAAAATTATTGTCTTCAACGCGTTAGACTTGCCAACTTGCGCTTCTTTTTCCTGTCGCCGTAATCGTCTTAGCGGCCCAGTGATGGCTTGTGTAAGTGTCGCCGTTACCAATTCCTCAAAGATGGCGACACCAAGCCAACCAGCAACCAATAACAGCAGCGAAAATAGTGAATGGAAGCCGGCCAACGGACGGTAGGCAACGTCAACACAACAGCGAAGCCAAATAACAACAACGGAGGCACCAGCGACCTGGTAGTGCTGCCGCAACAATAACAAGCGATGCCCTAGGGGTGGCGCAACTCGGCAACAGGACTCGAATGTCTCGCTGAGGGCTAGCGCTGGACCCGTCCTATCCCATAGGCCCTCCGGTAGCCGCGTTTCTCTCCCAGTCGCTGCTTTCCTTCCCTTGGGCCTATCTGTAACCATTAAGGATGACCAGCCAGCGGGTCATCTCATCGCATGAAATCGTAGGCTGCTTCACAGTCATCGTAATCGCAACGAGAGAAGTAGCGGCAGCAGCAATCGGAGTGTTCCGTAGAAAGCCTCGTTCCCTGCTGCTGTCTGCCAGGAGAAGACTGCATGTCGTTACTGTTATGATACTTCGAGAAGGGGAGCACGCTATTGCGGAATCACACTGACGGGTGACGAAGGTCAGATACGTCGAATATCATGAAAATGTTACTAATTGATTGAAAAATCGTTCTGCTAAATGCAATTATTAGTCGCAGTATTCGATTTACTGCTAGCAAGACCAACAATGGCGGCTATAACTGTGTTGACAATGAAAACAATTTTAATTGCAAGCGATGATTACTCATTCATCAATACCTGCGCCAGTTCCGGCGGTGTCCAGCTCAATCTAAATCGATACTTGATAGCGGTCCCAGACGTAAAACTCGAAGTAGGTGTGGGAGAATGTAACGAAAAGCATTGACAAAAATGAATATCCAGCCGAAACTACCAAAATCAGCGAACAGCAGCATCCCGTCAGCCGTTAGCTCGACCGGCTTTGTTAGTACCTAAGTAGCTGTTGCCTCTGCTGTCAAAGCCCCTGCTACAGTAGCCGAAACCAGCGCCACTATGGCCATCACCAATCGCGACGTCGCTAACATCGCTGTCTCCGATTCCCTTTCTGTCCTTCCGCCCTGGCCACTTTATATTCAAATGCCTATTGATAGTGGTGCGGGACTGGCGTCTGCCGTTGATACCGCAGCCTTCTCGACCCTGTCATGCTTGGACAGAAGAGATCGAATGAATCGAGCAACAGTACCGGAGCTACTATGTAGTACCGGCCATATGCAAAATGAGCCGTAAAGCGGCGCCACACGGGTTCAGGTTAATGCCATCGAGGCGAACTCCATCGAATATCAACAAACAAATATATGCTGGGCGGTGTCCTTTCTGGGGGAGCCGAGCACAGCGTATTGCAACGCTATAGGGAGCCGCGTCGGAAATGCGGCAACAGTGCAGGCGACCCCTAGAACAAACAATCGATTGAAGAAAACGAAGGTTTTGCGGACGCGAGGTTTGCAATGTCGAACAAGCCACACTATTGTCACGGGCTATACGGTTTGGTGGAGGGGAGACAATGAAACTGTTGTGGCTTATGGCTTCTGCTGCATCACATTTGGCAGGCAGAAATGCTAGCCGCTCGCTACCAACGACAAACAGGGGAATATCATAGAAAATCGAGAGATGAAGGGGGCAATCATGCGCCACTATCGATGTCACTGCGGAAATCTCGAAAAATGATCTCAAATCGAAAGAAAAGCCGTCTTCTGTGTGCGCATCAAAGTGCGTTTGCTGTCTGCAATGACGCTCTGTCGATGACCGCCGGTAGGTTTAGCAGGTATGACAATGCTATTGTATCACGCACGGCGTGGAACGAACGGACTGACTAATTGTCATCGCCAGAATACCAGCCAAATCTCTCACTCCAGTCGCATATTTGCCAAAACGCAAAAACTGGCTCGTACCCCTCACTGTAGCCGCTGTTCTCGAGGCATTCGAAGGGAGCGAAATTTACGAGGGGCGAGGCGTTAAAAGGGGGGAAAAAAGCGAGATGAACAGGATTCACTTGCGTTCGATCCTTAAAAACCTGCCAAGCAGGACAACTGAGCTATGCCTTTCTCTGTTGATTCTGAGTGTGATTTTTTACTTTTAGGTCAAACGGCAGTGAATCGAATGGCTATTTAAGGCAAATTTGTGCTCTTGTCGTTACACGACAAATGCAAATGTCATATACAGCAGTGTCTTTTGGCTAGGAAATCCCACGATACGGTTAAAACTGACCGCACACAAAATCCCTTTACGTCCGCCTTATCTAATAGTTTTACGCTGGACAAATATTTAACCTATTTTCGTACACCCCAGTTGTGGAGTGTGTGCTCTATGGAATAACGGCATAGCAAAAGTCTTTTGTTATCGATTAGTGAGCACTAGCAGAACTTAACTAGATTCATTTTGGGTTAACTGATATTAGGCCACTTCGTAAACTTAGCCAGCATTTTACCTCTGCTAGGATTCTATTGACAACGAGTAGCCGTCGTTCGTGTATGATAGTAAGTCTTCGGTTATTGTGTGTAAAGCAGATGAAGCTTTAACGCGACAACAGTAATAGCTTTTCGAAGGAGAGAACACGAAATTCTTGCGCCTACCCTTGCTTTCTAACTGAATCTCCGCCCCTGCGGAAACTTCAAAATATGACCCTTTGTACGCCCTATTTTGCAGCTCAGCGGTAGTACCGTGTCAATAACGGCCCCCTGCTTGCAACTACCGGACCCGTTCGAGCTAAAAACCACGGTACCTTGCAAGTGATCGAAAATTGATCGTGTTTTGCTTGTACACTAGAATTGTATCAAATTGTTTTTCCTTCTGCTTTCTGGATTAGGTTGGGTCCGACGCTGACGACAAACGGTTCGCCCGCACGATATCGAAACTCGGAAGGCACAAAATGCACACCTTTTACACTGGTATTTAAAAAAAGCCAATAATAGTTGAGCTCTTCGACACTTTGGCTGTAAGTATCTGTATATGAAGTATACTCCATTGTTACGCATGGATCCATTAACTCGTAATCACCTACTATAAGCTATAGAGAAAGAAAAATTGGGCTTATTTGACAGCCTTTGCTGTCTGTGGCTTTTGCCAGGGGATACAAGACGATGGCTAAAAGCCACCGAAGCGTGCACACGCACAAGCACAGCCCTATAGACGCACATCGACAACATCCACAGACTAACCTAAAGCCACCTATGCTTGAGGAAGCGGCAGTCCCAACAGTCACTCTTTCCTCTACCTCAGTACCGTTTCGTCTGCCGCTCCCTGTTCCTCTGTGCGGTCCGGTCCAGTCGCTTCATTATCGCTAATAGCGTTGTCCTGTATGAGCTTTCCTGTAAGGGGTCGCCCCAACCTTCGCTCGTACACTGTTTAGGTTTGTGGGTGTCTGCTTCTGTCTATCTGCCTACTGTGCATTGAAGCGTTTAGCAGCAGAAACGTTCAGGCGTTTAGTTCCCTCGCAGGCGCAGTGGCAGAATCCTCCTCTAACAGGCGTGCATCCAGAGAGTGCAACAAAAGAGTGTCTTCCCGCCCGAGGCGTTGCTTTGGCCAAGTACTACACCGTCGTTCCGATATGTACGAGGTAACGGCCGTTGCTGAGCTCCACAGGGCTTTCACACACACACCTCCAGCTCTGTGCTAGAGGTGGCGGGAGCGAGCTAACTGTGTATACTAATGCTGCTGACTACTGTGTAGGCAATCGTAGCCATAGTATGGCTATTGCTGGAATAGCTTACCGAGTGGCTGATTGGACTGGCTGTCCTAGCCATCATCGAAGCCACAGAGACGCAATGTGAGTGTTGAAGCGTGCAAATATATATATTTATATATATATATTATAGATCCTGTAAGCAGGGGTCTATTCAACGAACTGCAGGCGATTTTGGTTAGACAAACATTCAACGTGAGCCTGCTAGATGTGCTGACGTTGTTGGCTAATAAGGCGCAGTCGGATCAACGGCTATATGAATTGATTGATCGATTCGGACTTCGTTGCCCGAGCAGACGACATCTAAGGGCTGAAGGGGGCTTTTAGGTTTCGAGCAAGCGCGAGATCCCACTTAAAGCATCGTCATAGCATCGTAGCATCGGCTTAGCATCCGACTGGGTGACGATCTGCGCTGACAGTACGGACTTACGGGAGGATGGCCTGTTCGACAACAACGATGATGTGTACACCTTTTTGTTCAAGCTGCTACTGCTTTTGAAACTGGCCCACTACAGCCGCTGCGCACGATCCACAAACAGGGAACTCGAGAGGTGGCTGTATCCGGCCAAGCACGCTAAACGACAAGTTCTACCTGTTTAACTAACAAGTTAGTCAACTGCAAACTCAAGCCGATGCTGCTGTTGTTGTCGTCGTCGTCGACGCGTCCCCGATTCTCTTTCTTAGTTTCGATTCACAGAGCGCTCACCGTAGCGATCCACTTTACCGTTAGGTCACCTCTCATAATAGATAATATCCAAATGTCGATCAGCTATCGCACCTATTCTGATGGTGAAGGAAGCGATAGTTTAGTAGGGACGGCACGATAAAGGTTACTCGGTTCTTCACCGGTCAGGAGTACCGTGTCTGTTTCCATGCTTTTACTACTTCCAAGAGCAAGTGTTGTCTTCCATTTGAGCCATCACTCAAAATTCATCGTTGCTGCTCGTTGAGTTTAAACAATGCACGGGCCAGGGTCGTCCAGAAAACCGCGCAAAAGGAAAAGAGAGACAATAGACTAAATACGACGTAAAAGACGGTTACGGATATCACTATTTTCGGCCTTGTTGCCTGGCTACTGTTTCGATTGCGAATGTGAACTGAGCCTGTAGATACTGCAAGGAACAGAACTGGTTCCGCCGGTCGTTCCGGCCTTCGTCTAATATAAGGGCAATTGTTGTACAACGAGCCTTCTCGCGCACTATACGGCTACACGTATTCGCCTATGCTTACCGTGATCCCCTCTGACCCGCTCGTATGCACTTATAAAGGCGCGATGGCCATCCACTGGAGAGCGGCACCCTTTCGCGGCATCTCAGACCAAACCGACCACGCCACAATAATACGGCTTTAGCATTGAAAATCATTGCGCATTCGCTGATATCGGTGATATTGTAAGAGAAAGCCCAACGAGCCAGCGAAAAATGTCGAAGGCTTAAAGAAAAACAGTTGCCATTGGAGGTTCGAAACCGATGCTCGCCTGTTGTGCTATATGTATTACGAGTATGAAAATGCAGAGTAACTTTGGCCAGCAAAGCTTGCACCTACTATCAACGTAGGTGCCTAATGCTCTAGATACAATAAAGGGTCCAGGTAGTTGCTTTTCCCGATAGTCAAGTAATAACAGAAATAACACCAATTTAGCAGGCGCTTCGTTTTCACAGACCACAGCGCACCGTTGAAAATAGAAGAGCACAAGGCAAGAGCAAGCAAATAGCCAGCCAGATTCACTTAGTAACCTATAGAGGGCGCTGGCAGTCTTTCATCCCGTCAATCCAATCCTAAGCGCAGGCCGAATCCCCCACCCGTTTCCATAAGAGCGCCGCTAGTTCACTAACCCCATTCGAAGGGTTGCTGCTGCTGCTGCTGCTGCTGTGGGGAACCCACGAACTGGCAAAGCAGGCAGACTGCTGATGGTGGTGGTGGTATATAGTCACCGCCTCTCCCACCGATCGACTCTGAATGGAGTTGTTGTGCTACGAGCTTGGGGACTGCTGCTCGCTAGACCTTTCCTGTTCGTCCGGTTGTTTTATTATAGCTCGGAAGGACGCATGAACGACAACCAGTCGACTGCTGGAGGCGGCAACGAGTCGGTTTGTCTGGTAGTTCGACGGACCCAAAGAAACGAACGAAGTCGTCCGAGTTTGTTGCGCTGCAAGCGGTTACTGCTTTAGCTGTTACGCAGGACCCGACGCAGACCGCGGTCGGATCTATAAGCGAGAGAGGAAGAGGAAATTCCTTTGAGCCTAAGAATGGAATCGGTTGTGGATGAAGCGGACAGGGTGGAAACAGGGGTTCATGGAGGAAAGAAAGAGATGGAGTCTCCGGGAACGTCGCAGGAATGTCGTAGGAGAAATCGTGTTTTTCCTTTAGCTACTCTCTCGTTGGGGTGGCTGTCGTTCGTCGTCGATGCGACAACTGCACAGACGAAGAAGCAGCGATAGCAGCGGCCGCGGCAAGACGGAGGCGTTCTTTCGAAGAAATACAGAGAATGGCCGGGTGAAACGAAGGTAGTGCAGAGGTCTAGCAGTGTAGGAATTGACGGTGGGTACAAAACCGCTAATACATTTTCTGTTCGTTCTGTAGCGGTAGCGGCAAGTTGCCATACATTCGAACGCCGCTTGCATCATACACACAGACACAGACAGAAATACATGTATGGACTCAAAATCCATTCGTAGTTCTTGCAATAACGACCGACAGAATGGAGGACACGACGAACCAGACCAGTGGCGACGACGACGACTGGCCACCACCGCGGCCGGCACTAATATCAGCGGGGAGGCGACATACCGAAAGAACAATTTTACTTCTCTTTTTGACTAGTCTTACTACTACTTTTTTTTTTTTTTTTTTTTTATATCACAATTTGTCCTCCACTCAGAAAGCATCGCTCTTCTTTATGGCTCTGTGGACGGTGTGGTGGGAGCGATGACCTCCCGAATAATAATGTCATTGTTTATTACAACCACAGTCGCAATACTAACAGTGCCTGTCTCCGCTACAACAACTATTACTGCAGACTATCGAAAAGGTGCGCGCGCACGAGAGAGACAGATAATGACGGAGCAAAGTAATGAAATAAACAAAGTTTACGAAACCATTTCATTCATAGCCTAATAAGCTATCCAACCCTTTTACCGCCGTGTAGTTTTTCTGTTATGCCACGCTTCACAGCGTATTAATTTTTTTCCTATTTCCAAAATCAGTGCATGTATGTACAGCTTGTTAAAAACTAATTTAATGAAACATACAAGACCATAATTACTACGATTATAACTACTGCTACTCACTTGCAGAAGAGGAAAGCTGCAACCAGCGTTACCGTGACAAGGATAGCACAAAACACCGTGATGAGGGGCAAAGCAGACGGCCCTAACAGGGAACTTAGGGCTCGATCACCCATAAGCTGTCCAGCCGGACAGAACTGTAGATCGTCGGAAGCCAAGCCCGCGGCGCATACTCCTGGCGGCGCTGGAGGAGGCGGCACAAAGTGCGGCGGCGCCGGTAACAGGTCGGCGCAGCGTCCCGACGAGCTGCAGCGAAAATACACAAGCTCGTCATCTTCATCATCCGGTGCCCAGGTCCACAGCCCCGCGTCGCTCCAGTCGGCCCAGTGGTACTCCATGACGGGGTGCAGCCGACTGGGACCCGCGCTGACAAAGCCCCGCTGCTCGGGGAGGGCGTCAGCACGCCCTCAGCTGTCGTCTCGCAATGGCTCTCTGGCGAGCACGCTTGCGGCCGCATCATCTACGAAGGGGCCCATAATCGCAGCGGCTCATTGTAGCGTGTTTCAACCTTCAATTGATTCTCGATCTACAAGAGTAATTAATCGATAGCGCTAGGCGACAACACTGTGGTTCTGCAATAGCAACTCATCGACAGGAACGCTAAACGCTGTATCGAGGCTACACCTGTGCAACAGAAGAAAAAAGTAAAATTGGTTAGAAAAAAACGGCTTTAAAAAAATATATAAATATGATAATTACCTCTGTGCACACGAATCGAAAGGAAATTTTTTTTTATCTAAACAAGCGATAACAATAATAGATTTTACACAGCTTTTAACATCACATTACATAGGACAGTATTCACTTTTTATACGTCAAAAATGCCCTTGATTGTTTTCGCTCGCATTTAACCTGCACTGGTAAAGAAAAAAAGGTTTAATCGGAGAAGGGATCGCTTAGCTGGAATAAAAGTGAAGCGCCGGTTTTATATGGTCTTTCTAGTATATAATGTATTTACTACGAAGACGCTCTCCATATAACATCTACAATTAGCACATCCTGGGCTGGCCGCAATCGCGTTTCTGTACCTGTATTTCTCTTAGAGCGAATAAAATCAGTAATGGGGAGATGGTATTTCCCTGCTTTACGTAACCAGGACACATAACTGCAATACGTGAATGATGAAGCCACGGCCGGTGTTGTTAGCTACATAGATAAAGCCAAACGAGACCATATTTCTAAAGAGTTTTCCCTCCCCAGTTCGTCTACCCCCGCTGGTAAAGCGTATTCGGTAGACATTCACCGGAATGCCCGCACCGCCTCTTTTAGACTGTGGCAGACCTGGCTATGCCCCTACTACCGTAACAGGTAGGGCCATAACAGCCGTTTCGACTCCGCCCACGTATTGAGCTGATGAGCACAGCACGAAAACGGCAAACGGGGCAAGCCTGTTAGCTATAGCAATGTAGGTGCTGAGGTAGGACGGAATGATCTTGGTGACCATGTTTATGCGCTCTATTCCTTAACCCGGCGGCAAATGGTGGCCAGCAATGATTGCGCGAAAGCCTCCTGCGTCGTATACAAATGGCTTAGGACCTGCGATGGAATACGGGGAGAGTCGTATGTCGTCAGTGGTTCGCGTGGCACCGTATCTCTATCGGGCTGCTCCAACTGACTCTACTCATTCCACTAAACTACATAAACACGTCCGTTCCGCGAGCTTGCACGCAGGGATTTTATTTCATCATGAACAGGACTGCTAAGCGCCACGTTGGCATGACCCATGCATCCAAATGTCCATGAACAGAGAGAACGGCAGAAAAGCAGGGAGAGATAAATAGAACGATGAGAAGAGAACCCGCGAATCGTCGCTTGAGTCCGCCAGAGACTACAGACTATATTCTACTCTGCATAGCCTTTATGTGTCGCTTCTTGTGGCCGCTGCCGCCGCCGCCGCCGCAATAGCCACCATCTCTGCAATGACTGCTATCGTCAAAGATTGGAATTGTCGCTGACCCTGCTGCTTCTATAAATAAGCCTATTCATCAGCGGCTGTCATCGAGCCTGGCTAGGGCGGGAGTTTCAGGCGTGGAATCTTTGCTTGGCGACTTTTCCTATTCTCATCTCGTCTGATGCCGCGACTAGGATAAAATGAGTTCGCGCTCGTTCATGACACAGACGCACACTATAGCTAGGACTTGTTGTATAGAATGGCTGTACAAAAGAGGAGAAACGATGCGATGCTTCGCAGCGTCATCGTCACTACCGTAGTCGTAAGAAGACATACAGTAGTGGAAGAAGTTGATTCGTTAAGGGAAACCGACCGGTCCCAGAAAGTGTTTATACCCCCGTCTCGGTTTACTCTCGGAGAGAACAGATCAGTCAGATGGCGTGGCTGGGGCGCTCGACCTTTTTAGAATCTGGAATACTCTGCTAATTCTTATTTACCAGGCCCACAGAAATAACAAGGATGCTTCGTGGCCGGGAGCAGACTGTCTCTCAGCACGAGTTTCTATGCATGACACAGAAGAAGAATAAGCCTATGACGAGTCTCTCCTTTTCTATCGCTGTATAGAAGATTCAAGCCTCGAAAACTCAGGTCCCCTGGAAGCCTACGGAACTCTAATCTCGCAGGTTTCTCTATTTCAAGAAGCTTACAGACCTAACATTGGAGCCTTTTTGCTGGAGAGAAAGAGAATAATGCACGAAAATGGCATCGTACGCGACCAGGTTAGCGTCTTCCGCTAAATTCCACCACTTCAGCGGTTCGTTGTTGCTGCTACATACCCTACATATTTGTGGTTGATTTTTTCCGGCTAGATTCAGTGGGTTTCACTACTGGTAGTATTCTCTATTTGCCGCTGCTGAGAGAATGGCCGCGGTTTTTAAAAAGGGAGAGATCCGTAGCCCTAAGACAGAGAGGAAGTATAAGGTCAAATTACTAAACCGGCACAGACCACTACTACGACATATCATAGTTGACAGACGTCCTCGGGAGCCTTTTGGCTTTTTTAGAATAGTTTGTCATCGCCAACGTCCAACGAGAGTTCTTGCAGTGCAAGCCTTTTGGCTGACCCCTGGCAGACAGCAAAACTAACCCGTACAGCATTGAATTTAGAAGATCGCCTTGAGAGCAACGACTAACGAATGGCAATGCTCATCTGCCGAGACACGTTAGTCATCGCTTCCATAAAAAAATATTGCTATTGCTGCTGATACTGCTATCGTTTTCATGGAGGTAGCAATGCCTATTGCTACAGGATTGTTCTCCTGCAGCGAGAGCCGTACAGAGTACGCAAGAAGAGCCAGCTGGCTCAATCGATAGGCAGCGACGTTCAGCGTCAGGTTAGCGGCGCAAGCAGAAACACTATGAGCAGCAGTAGTTTTGTAAGTAGACAATTATTACTCTCGCGGAATTCTGTTGCTTTGAGTTTTTACAATGGTAGCCAGTGCAGTGTCCAACGGAACACGACGGTCGCCCAGCGCCGTCCGCAGTAACAAGCGTGCTGCGCTGCAGTGTCCTGTAACGGCGGGCTCTTTCGTTCTTAGGCTTCATCTATGCATGTATTGCTATATATATTTTGTGCCGTCTTTTTCGTTCATCATACACATTTTGTTGTTGTCTTCTCTGCCAAGATCTGTCTGCCTGCCTGCCTGCCTGCCTGCCTGCCTGAGTTGTTCTGCTTCGTTTTGACGCTTCGAAGCAGCGCGTTCGCTGCTGCGTTCCCGATACGATTCCTCTGCGTCATTTCTGAGAAAGGCGATTCCGACTCAGACTGGGTCTTAACGGCCAGCAGGGGCTGCGCGACCCGCAGTCACATCAGGTGAATGGCAGCGGCGTTGGAGCTAACTGAAACGGTAATGACAGCGTTGTCATTTGACGCAGCAGCAATAGCAGTCAAAATTCTGTCGTTCAGTTACTGCAGTTTCCAAATTTGCTATGCATACTTCTCCCTCTTCTCGACCAGCGTAAAAGTTGCAGCAAGAAGGGACGACGACGATGACGATGGCAGCAGAAGCTGCTAAAATGTAGTGTTGGCAGACCCACCAATAGCCACGCCACAACATCAGCATTTTCCGCAGCTACAACAACGGCGTTGCGTTAACAGAGAAACGTAACAAAACATCGAAGCCGAATGCCAATTGCGTTGGGGCTGGCGATACCGCGCTCCGTACGCGCATAGCCAACAAGAACCCCATCGGTAGCTGCTGATGAACCCAAAAACGAGGCGGCAACAACAGCATTGCCCCGACTACGCAATGATCGGCACTGCTACTAAGTGACGACCATGCTGACGCCGAGCTTAGTCTCAGGGTCCAAGTTTATCTACACTGGCATAAATGCCGAAAAAACAGAAGCAGCACCAGCAGTTTCTGACAGACAGACAGTCGAAATAGTCGCCGTAGCTTGAGCTAGACAAGCCAAGCGGTAACCGATAATCAGTCGACGAACCGAGAGCTCTTCATGGCGCCCACAACAACAACAACAACAACAACAGCGATAACGACGACAACGGAGATACCAATAACAGCATCTTAAGTGCACATTTCTGTCCGGTAGTAGGTACCGCCAAATATGAGGAACTTCAATGAAACCTCAAATATATTATACGTTCTTATACTATCTGGCTGGCCATCTCACCTGGTTGGGGTTGGGTTTCCAGCGTGCTTTCTTTTTAACTTTCTGCCAGGCAGAAGATCTCTGCTGTTTTCAGGCGGTTACAGTAAATGCTAGCACCTATACGATGATATTCTAGCCGGTTTTTTGTGACGTCGAACACAGCCGTTTATGATTATAAGTTTGTTGAACCACATGGCAACAGCATAAGCTAAGCTGAGTTTTAGTGCTGTTTCGTTTGCTTAATTTTACATCTGCAAATGTAATAGTTTTTCTGTGATCTGTCGTCAGCCACACCAGTCAAAAAAGCGTCGCTATAATCATTACATACTCTTAGCAGGGAGTTGACCACAAACACGCGTTTTTTTGTTTATCATAGATCGTCGCTTTCGGTATTATCTTCATCGCCCTGGATGCCATGTCGTGAAGTAGACGTTTCACAGCGCGTCAAATAATGTCAAGAGGCGTCCAAATCCGTCTGTAACGATGCTGATCGTATTGACCATTAGTCACCTATTGCCCATAATGAATTTAACTTGTCCTACCGCAGGCCATTTAGCATCATACTATAGATGTAGATGAAATCGCCAAAGCCATTTTTTTCATACTTTTCGAGTTGTTAGCTTCGTCACATCGAAGCTCTGTAACACAATGGTGTAAATATACCAAATAACAGGAGAAGCACAATGATGATTGCGCCAAGAAAAACAAAGACGGGGTCGCTTCAAATGCGGCAGCGTCGTTTTATCATATATATATATATATTCCAGATTCTTATAATCCACAGCATTGTCAGGAAGATCATTAACAGTACCATAGCATCATTACACATTACCACAAGCTGCTGCAAAAATAATAACTGGCACTAATAGCGTTAACAGCATGTGATCGATATGAATAGACTTATGAGTGCGTATATCGATAGAGAGGAAAAAGAAAGTGAGCGACAATGAACCAAGAAATATTTGGCCATCGACGGATCTTCAACGGTGTGAAACTGCCCGCCCCGGGGGAGAGAGAAAGAGAAGCTAAACAAGTTGCCTTGATCTTCTTCGATTTTTCTTTT